TACATTTTTAATCATATTTAACACAGTCTCAGATATTGGTTTCCAGGAGACAAAAGATTTCGACCCACAACTACAATGCTGTCATTTAATTTTCATAATGAATAAATAAAATTTTAAAACATCACATTTGGAAAGGGTATAATTAATTATTTAGTGAAAAAAGTGCATTTTACTGGCAGTAGATACCAAATGTAAATACTGAATATTATAATATATTTTTTTATTTATTTCTTTTTAATTTTTTCATTTCTTTTTTCTTTAATTTCAAGCAATTGTTGATATTTTTTAAATAGTTTACTGCACAATTTACACATTAAAAGATGGTTCAAAAGTACAATATAGCATTGCCTGCATTAGATTAACAATCGTTTGCGTTCACTAAACAATAATTACATCTATTCATCTAACAATTCCTTTTCAATGGAAAGTAATATATATAATTCCAAATTCTCTTCGGACAGTGAATTTCTTGATTTAGTCTTTATGACATCTGACTTTGAAAATATCTTTTCAAATTGGACTTGAGTATCTGATAGCGTGCAGATGACTTTATAAAGTTCTTATTCTTTTTTTATTACTAAAACAGTTGCCTGTGTTTGTTTATTTATTGCACGTTTATTTGATATCCATCCAGGGCCCACTTTCCATTGGGCAAGCTGACATCCTGGCCAGTCCACCACTGATTTTAAATACATGGCTATAATTGTAATATGTGTATGGAGAAAAAAAACTACACACCAAAATTCGGCAGCTTCTGTGGTCTGACTGGGTAACCAGGACTGGTGCATGGGTACCGTGCCCGCAATCTACGATACGCACCCTCTCAAATCTATGATGCGGTTGTCCAGCATTCACTGTTATATAGGAGAACTGATATTGCATAACAGTTCAGTAAATTTAACATGCAAAAAATATAACCAATGCAATTGCATAATGACTTAAATACCGCCGTCATTTTAGGTTTCTTTGGATATTTATACTTTTAAGGATTTAATAAGCAGACCACTTATATTATAAGTGATAATAAAGATAATTATATAGTTAAAAAGGATGCACAGATTGAGGAATCGGAGAGCTGAGTTCGAATTCCTGTCGAATCTATTACATTCACTTACGTGCTAATACCCTTGGGAAAGGTATGAATCCTTGAAGAGGATTCACAAAATAATTAATTGTATCGTTTTTTCCGTAAAAAAATAAATAGCAGGAGAGACCGGGTACTATAGCCTTTGATGGCAACTGGTCTACTGCCTCGTCAGTCATGTATCTTTCGATACATGATCACCTAAGCGTGTATCACGCATGGCACATAACTGATAGTTAAAAATCCTGCATTACTCATTTAAATAATATCCAATGTAATTACAAACTTACTTAAATATCTATATAATAATAAAACTCTAATCTTGTATCTATGTATGTATGTATGTATGTGTGTTCCCGATATACAGCGTAAACGATACATAATACCCCAACCAATTTAGAACTATATTGTACCTTGAACCCCTGCAAAGTGCAGTGCCAAATTTCATTAAAATTAAACAAGAGGTTCTTTAGTTAGGGCCGTTTTAGTCTGTTTTTACGTCATTTTTAATAGGAAATTCAATATTGTTCAATGCGCATTCTTATATCAATCCGCGTATATAAACATAATATAATTTGCATAATTTATTCCGGTTATAATGTGTGAAAAATAATAAACATTCATGAAACATAATAACAGCATTATTAAATAAATTTAAATATGCATAATACAACATATATTCATACAATTCACTAGATTAGAGATTTTTTTCATAAAAAACTGTTCGAAAGGTGAAAAGGCGCTATGTATCACATGACTTGATATTAAATAAACGAATAGGTACACGCTGATTTGCTGCAGTTACGTATTTTGAAATAGATGCGAAGAAGAAACAAGTATGTATAATTTTTAAAAAATATGCTTATTAATTTGAAAAAGACATCTGTTTTAAGCTATTACTCCAAATTTTCACGCAATCTGTCAAATATGAAGCCCCATTATGTCTTTAAATACAAATTAAAATGTGTAATTAATAACAAAACTGATAATATTGTTACCCCACCATGTTGTATCATGAATTGCTTTTAAAATAAACTTAACGGTGGTCTAATGTCTGTTAAGTTTTTTCCGGTACTAGTGTCGTAAGCCTTCTTTGTAAATTAAAAAGCAAAATTATTTCTAATACGCGATAAATGATTTAATTCTACAAATGAAAGTCTTAGATTACTCATACAGAAAACATAACCAATGCAGTTTTTTAAGGCAATTCACCCCAAGCAAGGCGGAAGTGCCACTAGCACGCAAGAGGTAATAGAGGATTGGGAACAGGAGTAAAGAGGCGTGTTGGAGGAAAGGATACAGAAAAGGACGGGGAACAAGCTCAGGGTGTCAGATGTCAATTGATATTACACTTGAATATTTGAAGATTATAGTCATCGGAGAAGCAAGTAAGGGGAGAGGAGTTCCACAGACGGGATGTGCGAGAAAAGAAGCTGTTTGAGAAGAAGAGACGGTTACATTAAACTGTTTTGACAGTGAAAATGCCAGTCCGGTTGCTCGTTTAAATTCATGTAGTCCGGGAACCAGCGAAAGTAGCTCATTGAAACAGTTGTGGTGACAATTTTTGTAGAAGAGACAGAGGGAGGCCACAGCATGTCTGTGGGATAACAATGGTAAACTAGATGCCAGATCAGGACCTATCATCTTGCATATTCGTCTCTGGAGAAAATTACTTAAATATTGTCGCCATTTGTTATTCTTTCTTTTCTTTTTTTTTACCGTAAAGATAAAATATCATAAAAATAATTTGTCTTTTGCGATATGAAACTTAGTTACTTAAATACACTGGTGCAAAGCTCACCAGAAGTTTTATTGTTATCATCATGTATCTATTTTTAAAATATTCCATTTTCTGTAATTGCAAATCCCAGCAGTTCCTAATAGCAATTTTCAATTCCCTTCGTTGTTGATTGATTGACTGTTTTTTTACGGGTTAGCCACCTTTTTACAGGATATTTAAAACCAGAGTATATTTTAAGATTGTAAGAATTTTTTGGAGATAATAATGATTTACTGATACAATTCCTACTATTTAACCCATCGCTGGGGATAGAAGGTGTTTGGACGTAAATGTTCATAGCGGACCTGACTGGAGTTCGAACTCAGTTCTCCGATTTCCAACTCCTAGCCATTATCCATTACATCATCCGCACATTCAAGTTTACAGCACCTGGTATTCCCAATCGTTACTGACCAGGTTCGACATTGTTTAATTTCAGTGATCAAACGAGAACCGATGCCTTCAGTGTTGAGATATTAGCTAGTGGTGCAAGAGTTCTAATAAAGGGTTCAAATAAATCGAATGCTTATTTCCTAAGTAAACAGAATAACTCGACTTGAGAGAGTTTTATATCATAACTTCTCTACTCATCCACTTTTAGCCATTGCGACTGAGTTATTGAAACTTACGAGGTTTGAACAAAAAGTATCGGGACTGGTGCTATAAAAAGCAAACTACAACACATATCAATTCGGCATTTAATCTCCTTCGAAGTAGTCCCTTTCTAAAACCACAAACTTTATCCAGCATCGTTTCCATTGATGAAAGCATTCCTGAAACTCCTTTTGGCAGGTGCGGGGTGGGATAACCAGCAGCTGCCTCATCGCATTCTCCTGGATTTTCTCGATGTCTTGAAATATTGTTTGATTTTTGAAGAGGAAAATGTCGCAACGGGCGAGATTTGAAGAATATGGTGGTTATCGTGCCTGGGGAATGTTGTATTTTGTCAAAAACTGCTACATTCACTCATGGTACCCCTATGGTGTGGTGAAACGATCACACTCTACACATTTTCCTTCAAAGTACTTCGATAAGCAAAGCAAGAGAATGAGAACGTTATAACTTAGTGTGTATGCGCAGTTCAAGGTCAGTCTGCGCCAAGGTGCTTCACTCTGCGTATTTTAGCTCCGTTACTATAGCAACAATTCCGATACTTTTTTTTTATCAGACCTCATAAAAGATATCAATTAAAACTAAACCAGTATCGAATATAAAAAACAAATAGCGATTTAAATTTTTATTCGTTATTCTATTATTTGTTCTCGTATTGGTTTCGGAGAGGTATGCTATCGAACTCTTCTTTTATGTACCTCGTCTTTTCAAGACGTAAGTCATCATGGCTCTCCACATCTTTCTATCTTGTGTGACTCTTAGCAGTCCCCACCCGTTTACTAAGGCCTCTATCCCACCTCATTCTGTCATCCATTCGCACAAGCTCGTCAGGTAAGTGTCTCGCTGCTTTTTACTATCTCTCTTACCCTCAATATAACCCCGTGAGGGTTAAGTTTTCCAATCCCTCCTTCCTCATTATGCTTCTAAAGAATTTCAGCTGTTTTTTTTTTTACTGATTCTGAGTGAACTAAGTATACATTTCTAATAACGGAAGTATTTTCTTTTTTTTTCTATATTCCGCGTCTCTTTAGGACATGGGCGTTCATGGCTCTCGAAAACTTCCAATTCCTTGTGGCCCTTAGCAGTTTTTATCTCTTTACTCAACCTTTGTCATTGTTTCTCCATTCATACAAGATAGGTAGGTTGATCACTGACATCCCTTATCTATGCCCAGTGAGTGTTAAGTTTTCCAAGCCCGCTTTCCTCATTATCCGTCCAGGAAATTTCAGCTGTCTCTTCCCGATTTTGAGTATAAATGTTCTTTCTATTTCCATTTTCTTTAAGACTTCTTTGTTGCTTTCTCGCTCCATCCATGGAATTTTTAGTATTCTTCTGTTGCTTCCGAGAGGAGATTGTCCAACATTCAGCCATATAAGAGGATGAATATCACATAGCCATTCAGCACTTTTTTCTTCGTTTCTAAGTGTTATCAATTAGTACAGTCTTTCAAATGTACCTCTGAAATTTTTGTCCCACTAGTTAGAAATTAAATCAACGAATGAAAAATAAATGTAAAAATCATGTTCAGGATAGATAGATAGATAGATAGATAGATAGATAGATAGATAGATAGATAGATAGATAGATAATGATGCGATTGAAAATAGATAGATAGATAGATAGATAGATAGATAGATAGATAGATAGATAGATAGATAGATAGATAATGATGAGACTAAAAATAGATAGATAGATAGATAGATAGATAGATAGATAGATAGATAGATGTGAAGAGACTGAGATAGAGAGAGATGAACAAACTGACATAGATAGATGTGAAGAGACTGAAATAGAAAGATTAACAAACTGAGATAGATAGATAGATAGATAGATAGATAGATAGATAGATAGATGTGAAGAGAAAGAGGCAGAAAGAAAGAGATGAAAAACTGACAGGTAGTTAGATAGATAGATGTGAAGAGAGAGACATATAAAGAGAGAGATATGAACAAACTGATAGATAGATAGATAGATAGATAGATAGATAGATAGATAGATAGATAGATTTATTTAATATGTAAGGTCTTATTAAACAATATAATTTTCCACACTATTATTCCATAGTAAATAACAACATTTTAAACCTTACTTCATTAAATCACCAATTTTATAAAAATCTCATTATATTCGTTCCATTTGCATCCATACAAAATCTGGTTTATTAATATTTGTGTAATTTACAATTTGCAAGATTTAGTGAAAGTCAACTCAATTTTTTGAAGTCAGATATTTTTACTCTCAGAATTATCATTAGCGAGACTCACAGACCCAATAGTAAGGAATCGATCCGTCGACTTGACAACTTTCAAGTCTCCACTGATTAACAACACAGTTAATATAGATAAACACAGAAACAATGAAATGTGCCAGAGACTAAATGTAAGAAAAGAACGCTTTTCGTTGGCATTGAAAGTGACAAAGACAAGAGACGAATAAAGGAAAATCATCTTTCTCTGTTATTTCTAATTAATAAGACTCCAGTGCTTTGTCGTTATTATGCTTTTTTTTTTCTCCTTGTACGTCTTTTGTTTCTTTCCTATTCCTTATTTCACTTTGGAAATATGGAATTAAAAAGACAGTCAGAAGCAACCGTGCTGGGGCATATCAAGTTTTGCATCTGCCAAAAACCAACTAGCAGAAAAGAGGCATATGGCACTAATTTCAATTTTTTTTTTTTTTTTTTTTTTTTTTGTCCGGAAGCAGAAATCTGAAAACTCCGATACTTATCTGGTGGCGACATCTACACATACCGATTGTTTTCACTTGCGGCCTGTTAGTGTGTATAATGAAAGTGCTTTGAAATGCCGCGATAGGCCAATGTACACGAGTGTACATACCAGCAGAAAGTGGGGCGAGGCTCGATGGTAGAATCGTCTTTTAGGAAAATAACAATAAAGAAAATAATTATAAAATAAAGTTTGTAAATGAACGCACACGGCGTTATGGATGTACATAAGCGTATGTGATTGTATATAAAGAAAGTAAAGGCTCGTAATTCTACCTATGTGTTCGTACGGGTGTGTATTTGAGTGTACAAGAATTGATCAATAAGTCTGTAGCCTAGCACGTAAGTATTAACTGAATTTTGATATGAAAATTTCGTTGTATAATTTTCGATCTATGTAATGTGCATCAACCACTGAATTAAGTGCAATGAGAAGTAAGGAGATTATGTCGAAAAATGGATATTTGTTGGTTAAAATAAATGCTTACTTTATTATTAGGCTACAGAATTATTGATTTATCTACGTATTAGCACATGCTCCTGGTATGGGGTTAATTTTCACACCTGAATTAAGTGCATTGACAAGGGAGGAGACTATGTCGAAAAATGAATATTTCTTGGTTTAATATAATTACTTATTTTATTATTAGGCTACGGAATTATTGCTGATCTGCATATCGGTGCATGCCTCTAATGTGGTTAATTTTCACACCTGAATTAAGTGCATTGACAAGGAGGGAGATTATGTAGAAAAATAAATATTCTTTGTAGGCTGCGGATTTAGAAAATATTCCTAAAAATATGATTAATTTTCATTACCGAATTAAGTGCATTAAAAATAAATATTCTTTGGCGTTGGGTAAAATAATGTTTGTTTTTTTGTATTTTTGTTAATAGGATACGAAGTTATTGATGCACTTATTATCACTTGCTTCTACTATGTTGTTAATTTTCACCATTAAATTAAGTGCCTTGTCAAGAAAGGAGATTTTGTAGACAAAAATTTGTTATGTAAAATAAAGTTTTTTTTTGTTTTTTTGTTTTTTTTTTGTTAATAGGATGCGAAGTTATTGATGTACCTACTTTTTATCAATTGCTCCTAGTATGGTGTTAATTTTATCGTTGAATAAGTGTATTGACAAGAAAGAGATTTATATAGACAACTAAATAATTGTTAAATAAAATAAATACTTATTTTATCATTATACTTATGTACCACGTACCACATAAATGACAATGACTCTTATATACAAATGTTCACATGAGAGTTGTAATAACTGAACACATTTGTCTTTAAAACGTATGCATTTCAGATGTTCGTTAATATTCTTTGTATTGAATTCTGTACACGGGCGTATGTGCTTGGGTGCGTGAAAGAAAGAAAATATTTTTTGCTTTTTAGTTGTTTTTCTTGTTTTTGTTTTTTGTTTGTTTTGCAAATTGTGCGTGTGTCTGATCAAACAAACATTCAGGGTTAAGTGCGCGCCTTAGGGTGTATACGTACGCTTACTCTTTTAAGGTTGAATACTTTTTGGAGTGTGCTTATTTGTGTAGCAATGTATGCCTACTTGCGGTCTGTGTTTGTATTTTTATGTACGTGTAATCGCATCTATATACTTAACTTGTACATATAGCGAGCGTAGCTTTATTTAGAGATAAAACTTAATACGTATATGCGACACCTACTTGATATTATGATACGTCGGAGCGTGCTGAGCGCATTTTGATGTATTGTTCGTTAGAAATTCATGCCTTTTCTTCGTGTAATATCTAGCTCAGATTTTGATTTTTTTTTCATTCACCCCAAGCAAGGTGATAATGCCACTAAGACACAAAGCGCTACTCTGAGTGAAAGAGAATGATAAGACTTTAGAAGAGACTGGAAACCCAATGCTAAACAGGAAAGAAGAGATAACCCTATCCATGTTCAAAGAACTCCGAGAAGGAGTATGAACCGGACGATATGCAAATCTAACCTAGTCATATTATATTCAGATTAAAATTATTTCTCTCAAATCTCCTTCTTTGGAAGTGGGGGGGGTATTCAATAAGCACAGCGACCAGAAATAATCTTCTTTTTTTTTTCTTTTCCTTTTTTCATATTGCTTTAGATTATGCATTTCAGATCAGTAATATATTTTTTTTATAAATTTTTATAAAAGGTGCAGTTTGCTATGTAAATTCATTGTAAATTAATTCCCTGCACAGGAGCCCAAACGAAATATGATCATACAACATGATTTATAAAATATAAAAAACTTTTTAAAAAGTGAAACTTGTAATGTGGACTGCGTAGCCAATAGTAATACGTAGAAAAGAATTTCAGATGGCGAATTTCAAAATTAAAATTTTTTTTTCTTTTTTTACATTTTAAGAATTCACGTGGTATGAACATATTTTGTTTTGACTTCCGTCGGGCAGATCAATTTACAATAAATATACAAAGCAAACTGGACCACCATCAACTTTTATCAAATTTAATAAATAAAAATTATATTTGTCATCTGGAATCAAAAATATGAAAAGAAAGGCGGGCATTGGATACTGAAGAGTGGCAAAAGAAAGAAAGAAAGAAAGAAAGAAAGAAAGAAAGAAAGAAAGAAAGAAAGAAGTACATTGTATATTGAATAGTGGCAATAAGAAAGAAAGAATGAAAGGGAAAAGGACATTGTATATTAGTGGCATAAAAAAGAATGAAATAAAGAAAGAAGGGCATTGTATGCTGAATAGTGGCATAAGAAAGAAAGAAAGAAAGAAAGAATAAATATTGGTGTACTTTTTCCATACAACCATTCGGCGTCAGTGTACGTTTTTAATTATTTTTTTATTACTGTTCTATTTTATTTAGGCTTCTTCCGCATCCAACGATTTTATTCGATTCCTTTTCTAATGTTTTTCTATTTCAATTCTTCTGTGACGTTTTCCTTTTCCTTCCTTCCTTCCTTCCTTCCTTCCTTCCTTCCTTCCTTCCTTGCCAACCATTCATGCTGAACAACCTCCTCCCAACTTTTTTCTTTCCTCCCTCCTTCCACTTTCTTTTTCTGATTCTTCTTTACATCACTCACTGACATGATGAATACACTTTCTCCCCTAACTGTCCAACATAAAGTGCAGAACAGTGGAGTAAACGACACGCGCAAGCATTTTATTTTTATTTTTTTTTTTTACATGGGAGGTTTAATTGACTGGCTAGCATACACAATGAACAGAGTGATGAAAATATAATGGCCCAACTATAATATCGCACCTGACAGGAGAAGTTCGTTAAGTTAAATGAAAAAAAATTACAACTTTTTCCGAAAAGGTAAGAGAAAAAGGGACTTTTTAAGATATTAATTATTTTCTATCATTTAAGCAAACAGAAACAAACCATATGACGATGTCTCTCCAAAGTTAAAAAAATATAACTCAACCAAACAGTGTCAACAGCTTCAGTGTTTATTTTTCTTTATATATGATTAACACGAAGCTTACCTTACGACAACGGGCGGGTGAAATGAGGAATGGAAAAGTAGTGGGCTGGTTTTGTTTACCTAGAAAATTTGCTTTCAAAATAGTAACTTTTATTATCCGAAAGAAAATACCAACGTATGACACTGACGAAAAATCCGTAACTCATTCAAACTCACATGCATACATACATACATACATACAAACATGCATACATACATACAAACATGCATACATATATATATATACATACATACAAACATGCATACATACATACATACATACAAACATGCATACATATATATATACATACATACAAACATGCATACATACATACAAACATGCATAC